TGACACTCATAAAAAGAGGCAGTTGGGGTCACATCTTGGCTTTTTGTCCCCTTCCCCTGAAACACAGCCCTGAGTTGTGATTTGGAATGAGGGAATCAGAAGAAATTTTCTCAGTTTCTGACTTCTTAGCTGAGCCAAGAGTTATGATTCCTAACTGCCCCTGTTTGCAACTCCTACCAACATATGGAGCTATTCTATACATTTCCCAATATATGAATTTTAACATAAACTTCCTGAGTTCCATTTTTTTAATGCAAGAAAAGGCCTTCAGTACATTAATTTCTCAAAGGCAACCTCTCATTAGCATTAATTCCTCCAACAGAAACTCTCCTGGGGCTGTTGTCTCCCACCACCCAACATCCTTCTGGTTTTGTTTTTCTCTTTTCAGCACTTAGTCCATCACATGTGCGGCCCAGTGAAGTTCCTGCTGCATTTAAACCTTTGTTGGGGGAAAAAATCGGGACTGTGAATGTGGTTGGAACCTTGACAGTGGGCAATTTGAAATACTTCACACTGCCTGCTTAAACGTGGAAGGAGAAAAGGTAGGGGGAAAAGGAATGTTTCCACACTGTCCATTTAACTGGACAAGGGAGGGAGCTGAGTAACGGAGAAGAGAGGGAGAAGACTGAAGAGCATGTGGGGAGGAAATGTAGCAATGGCACAACAGTGAGGCTCTGATAGAAAGCAACAAGCTGGACAGCAAGAAAACACCTTGCAAATGATTTAGTTCAGGGATAGGCACATTTTTTAGGCTGATGTGAGCGATTGTGGCTGGGAAAGGAAGTAGCAGGTGAGACAGCCAAGACCTTATCTCATAAAAGGCAGCTCAGCCCAGCTGGGGAGAAATCTGGGAAAAAGCATTTCAAAGTATTCAGAGACCCCAGCTTAATTAATTCACTGTACATAATATGGGAAATTCCTCTTGCAGTTTCCAAGATGCTGAATTTACCCCTGTGAGCATTCAAGATCCCTGCCTAAAATCAGTGTCGTTCTTGCCTTCTTGGTGTTGCTTGGCAGCTTTGTATGGGCAGGGCACACTCACAAAATGGCTGCCACAGGAGACATGATGCCTACTGACAACACAGCTGCCAAGATGGCAATGCCCATTTCCAAAAGGTCAAATAGCTCCCCTCTACCATCCTTGTAGGATCTTTATCTGGACTTGGTAAATACAACACTAGAGACTGGGATTTCACTTTCTTATGTTGTGCTGTTTATTTAAAAAAAGAAAAATCAGGTCAATCACACCTAGTGAGCACAAAGGGAGACTTCATATAAAGGACTGAAGAGAATATTGGACTTTTCTGCACAGGAAACATACTTCTACAAACAGCCAGTGTGATTAAAAAACAGCATTTTAGGGTAGGAACCAAAGGCACAGAGCTCAACCAACTTCTCATGATCTACCTGGTGGGCCAGGAGACTGAAGATGCTTCATGGCATCTGATTCTCAGATTAGCTTAATTTCCCTTCACCTCTGCGTGTCATCTCTACCTCATGGTAATGGGCAGAAATGTACAGAAAGAAAGCACTCATTACTTCTGCCTTTCTCTTTTGAAGATTTAGGAAGAAGCCAGAAGAAAAAGTTAAAACTTTTGCCAAGCAGGAACATTCAGGGGGATGTGGGTCTTTGATGTTACAGCCATCTTCTTTGCACATGGACTGCTTTGCTGGCCCAGGATCAGCTGTTGTCTGTGAAACATAAAAATGCTAACAGAGCTCAGCCTACGTGCCCAGATTGTGTTAGCAGCTCCATAAATGCCAGAAAGAACAGGCCAAGTTTCCACCTGCATTAAAGTCAGAACAAGACATGTTTTTCAAGCAGCAGGAAGGATGCTGCCTTTGGCTTCCTGGTGCCGCCTCAGGCAATGTTTCCTCTGTCAGACTGTAAGCAAGAGAAAGCTAGGATAATTCCAACTAACTGCAAGCTAAGAGATGTAGTAATGCGTCAACCACAGATGCCTTCCAATTATAGATTTGGAGACAATGACTGAATGCCATGGTCTGCAAGAAGAACCGATCAATTAGTCCTGGACTAAACAAAGGCCAACTACCCCTTTGAAACCATGATCAGCAAGGAGAAATCACATACTTTGGCTACAAGAGGATGGACTTAAAAATTGCTTAGCAATACTGGGAGAAGTAGAAAGGGGAGAATAGGATAGGATGCGATAAGGTAGACATTGGATTATTCCCAGTAACAAGTTGAGATGGTGGGCATTTGCCCATAGAGTTGTGAGGCAAAGGACCTAACTTAAATTCACCAGCCAAATAAACTAGTCTTCCTCAATGTAGTATTCTTCAGTTATACAGGAAGTGGACATCCCAGAATTTCCTGTCAACTTTCTGGGACTGCAGTTGTAGTCTGAACTCATGTGGAGGATGCCATGCTGGGAATGACTGATATAGAAGAGGATTTCTATAGCTCAGGGTTGAACTGTGGAGTGCTTGGTGCTCTCTGAATTTGGCTGTTTGCTTGCAGATGTTTCATTACCCAACTAGGTAACATCATCAGCACATGCGAATGTGGGATTTCCTGCTTGCTTATATGCAGTAGCTTACCCTGCCAGTTTGGAGAGGGTATGGTTTTCTCCTTGGTAGTTCCTTGATTAGGGTATTGTTCTCTGCTTGACTGTTTGTCTGGTGTTAATCCCTGCTTATCTGGGTGTAGGCTACTGGCTGAGTTCTGGTCTTTTTGTTTCCTTCTTAGCTTTTTTATCATCTCTTTGGAATGGTGTGTAAATGTGGTTTATCTCTATGTGTCTATTGATGGCTGATTTGTCTGAATG